TGTGAAAGCGAGGGGACGCCGCCGCTCCCCCCCAAGACCACCCTTTCAACTCCCTCTGCTTGACACCATGGAAGTGACTTAGTACTGAGGGAAAAGGGGGGAGAAAAAAACAGTTCAAAAAAACGATAACGAAAACAACAGTCAACGAAAAAGCGAGACGGAGAAGAAGGAACGTTTTTTTTTTTTTTTTTTTTTTTTTTTTTTTGTAAGGAAAAGAGGAAAAAATATATATAAAAGGAAAGACGCGCCCCCCCCCCCTCACGTCCGAAAAAAAAAGTAGAGAATATATAGACATTATTTTTTCAAAGTTTTTATTTTAAATTCTTTTTAGAAAAAAAAAAGAATTTTCATTTGTGTGCGTTGTTTGTTTGTTGCCATTTGGAAACAAAGAGTGAATTTAAAGAGAAAATAAATATTTTACAAAAAAAAAAAAAAAAAAATTGAGTGTGTTGTGTTGTTGTTTGCGTGCGTGCGTGCGTGCGTGCGTGCGTGCGAGCGAGCGCGTGCGAAGTCACTGTGTTCGAAAAATCATTGTGCTTTCGAACTCCCGGAACCGACCCCCCACATTCAAAAAAAGAAAAGGAAGAAGGAAAAGAGAGAGAAAAAATACGCCGGGAATATGGAAAGAGAATTGAGAGACTAGGAAGAGAAAACAGGAGATACAGAAAACAAGAAGAGTGTGATATACCGAGAAAAGAGAGGAGAGGAGAGAATCGACAATAATCATCTGTCTCTTTCGCCTTTCTCTCGTCCTCCTCGCTTCCTTTCTCCTCCATCTTTATCATCACCTTCATAATCTCCCTCTCCGTATTTCACATCTTCCTCTTCCGTTCTTCTCCCCCGCCCCCTACGCTTAGAAAAAAAAAACCTTTAGTATCTCATTCATTTTGCCCTTTTTCACCTGTTTTCTTCTCTCTCTGTCTGTTTGTCTGTTTGCCTCTCTCTCTCTCTCTCTCTCTCTCTCTCTCTCTCTCTCTCTCTCTCTCTCTCACTCCATTCTTCCTCCCTCTCTCTCTTACTCTCTATTCTGTCTTTCTCTCTCCCTCTCTCGCTCTCTCTCTCTTTCTCTCGTATCTTCTCTCTTTCTCTCATGTTTATCACATTTCGAGGAATCTACGAATTCAGCCACCAGCGGGACCAAGAAAGTGCGATAGGAACAGGCGGGAGAGATAGAAAAATCGACCTTATGGACTAATACCCCCCCTCCCACCCAACCCCCTACCAGACGACTACATTACCCCCTCCCCCCCAACCCCCTCTCTCCCCCTGGCGCGTAGTGCTTGTGAAATAACTCGATAATATTTAAGTGAAACTCATTATTATCATGTGTTTTCTTCTGTTCACTTCTACGTCTGGAAAACAAAGAAAAGAAGACTAAGAGAAAGGTGGAAAGATATATGGAATAAACGTGAATACTGTGTCATATATATGTAAGGAGGCGAAAAATATATATACATATATATATACACACACAGAGACGTTGAAAAACAACAACAACAGCAACAACAACAACAACATTAACAACAAGACTTACAATTAAAAAAAAAAGACTCAAAATAAAGCCCAACAAACAACAAACAACAAACAACGGCTCCACGACCTCTCGTATTTCATTTGTTCGTTTGCTGTTTGTCTCCAACGACACTTAATGACGAACATAGTTTATCCATATTACTCTGTTCGCAAAACATACAGTGTGCTTATCCGGTGAAGCTCAAATTGCCGCCAACCATCTACCTTTAAAGCTCAGGAGATGCACCATCTGCCCCAATCACGACACCTGTACAAAATACTGCAGGTAAGTCAAAAGAGGGACCGTGGGAGGGGTGGTACTGCTCGCTGCGGTTGTGGTGATCGGCTGGTATGGTTGTCGTAGTGACTGGTGTGGTTGTGGTTGGTGTAGTAAGGACAGTCATTGGTGTTGTGGTTGGTGAGGTTGTGATTGGTGTGGTGGTTGGCTGGTGTGGTTGTGACTGGTGTGGAGGTTGTGGTTGTGACTGATGTGGTTGTGGTTTGTATGGTAAGCACAGTCATTGGTGTGGTGGTTGGCTAGTGTGGTTGTGGTTGTGACTAGCGTTGGTGTGGTTATGGCTGTTGTGATTGTGGTTGGTGTGGTTGTAGCTTCCGGATGACATTTTTGGATTGTTAAAGGGATTGATATTGTTTCGCTGAAATGCTATTCTTACGATTAAAGTCTTATTTTTAATTCCAACTATGAATAGGATTATAATTATCATGATAATGATAATGCTGATAGCAATAATGATAACACTAATGATAACAAGAACTATTAGGATGATGTTGATCATGACACTGATAATGAAATTAATGATGTAATTAATAATAATAATAATAATAATAATAATGATATTAATGATAATAATTGTATTAATTATGATGATAACAATGATGATAAAAATGTTAGTATCAATAATGATAATAACAATAATGATAATAATAATAATAATAATAATGATGATAATGATTGTAATAGTAATAA